TGTCCAACTGAGATTTGTTCCTTCTCTTGTATGTCTGTGTGTCCATCTGTTCGGCTTGTTTCAGTGCGCTTTTGAAGGCGGATGGTTCCTTGCTGAATTCTTGTTCAATTTGTTCTCTGATCGTGTCCAAATCCCACAGCAGATCTTCTCTAGTTTTCTCTTCTCTGATCACCCGTGAGTCTGTGATGGGGTTGGTGTTGATCTTGGTCGGGTTGCCTCTTACTTTCCCTGTCGCTTTCTTTTGCCATCTGCTATCTGCTGGGGGAAAGATATCTGTTTTTTTTATCGCTGGGCTCTGGTCACCAAAGTGCCATACCCAATCTGGTTCCTCCAGATTGTCGTCGAAGACCCACCCGTCGTATGCCGGGTCTGCAATGAACCAGATTCCTGGCATATCTTCCATTTCGACCAACATGTTTGGAAGAAGTTTACGTTCCTTTGCTTGCTTTGGAAACTTGGGCCACGTTGGATCAGTCCCAAGGTGGCCCCTTTCCCTGCAGCGAAAACACAGTGGTGATGTCTTTGTTGATATCCTGATTTCAATTACCCTGTCTTCAATCTGGAATTTCCAAGCAGGTGGGAAAAACGGTGGGTCATGCATATGACAGTTTATACTTGTCACAATTTATGAATTTTATATACATTCTATTTGTGGCAAGTTATATATTGCAGTTAGCCTCGCTTTCTTTCGACTTCGCACACATGCAAACAGATGGAGACTCACACTGGCGCAGGGCGCCCACTCAAAGCTTAGAGATATGGAAATCAAGAACACAGTTCAGATGCAAGTTCTCTTCAACAAGCTATGGTGCATCAGCGCCTGGACATCCCAACCTTCGTCACTGTGTCCAACCCCACTGTTCACACTCGCTCACTCTGGATCACCCTGAATACCACCACACACATACACTCTGTCTAACTTCCTCCTACAGCGGCGATGGCTGACTATGGCTACGATCTCTCTTCAGCCCCCTTCGTCTTCAGGCAACCTGCAGACCACCTTCGCACAAGTCGCTGTAGCAGCGCTTCCGCATGGCTCGCGCAGCGAATGAATGAATGGCTGAGCGCTGCCTCTTGATTTATACTTCGTAACTCGTTGGTCTGCCCCTTTCCTTCGGCCCATGGTGCCCACAGTCCCTCTTGGTACTTGCTGGACTGGACTGGGACTGACTGGACCGGTACTGCTGACTGCATGGGTTTGGACTGCCAACTTGATGCAGTCGCATTGCCGACGTAACGCAGTTGGCTCACCACTTGCCCTTTTGCCTTCGACTAAAGGCTCACCACTTGCCCACTTGCCTCTGACTAAACGTGAGACACTTCGAAAGGCCACGACCTTGACCTTTCAGGACTGTAGCAGCTACGACCTTGACCTTTCAGAACACCTACAGCTACAACATCTACAAAGCTGTGACTCCTTGACCTTTCAGAACACCTACAGCTACAACATCTACCAAGCTGTGACTCGACCTTTCAGAACACCTACAGCTACAACATCTACAAAGCTGTGACTCCTAACCGACAGACCTACAGATCAAACCCCTACAGACCTACGACAGACGACAAACAACTACTAAAACACAGGTCACGGGTTCAAACGCTCGGGTGTCGACTCGATACTGTACACGGGCAAAGTGAGGTCTGGGAATCGAACCCTGGAATCTGCATCTGCCTCTGCAAAGGTGAAAACCGTTGCAATATGTGTATATATGTTATTATACATATGGGAGACAATATGACAAGATTTTATATACATGTTTCAATGATGTTTGTATGTCTGAGTGAGGCAATGTGGCAATAAGAGAAGAAATGATCGGATCAAATTTAATGAACGGTTTCAGTGTCCTCTTCATGTTATTTTTGTCAATTGTTTTGCAAGGTGTGCTCTTTTTAGTTGATTGAAATGCTGACAAGATATACTGTTATGGACAAGGACCAACCTTAGCTCTAATTAAGGACAAGAAACACTGTAACCAGAATGTACAATCACCTAGTAATGTGGGATTGGGGAGGGGTACTACGATTGTTGCTTGCAGACACCACCATCGACTGAGCGACATGCTGGAATAGTGTTCTTGAACTGCTTGTAGCACAGTCCTTTTCCTTCTCTTGTCCCTGGCTATCCATGTGGCGTAGTGTTTCTGTAGCGAAGTCCTTTTCCTTTTCTTCCCGCTGCTTGTCGCCGGCATGCCATCTTGGAAATAAATTCTGTTTTGATTCTTTTGAATTCCTTGAGGTCACGGTCTCTGCTATCTGCCGTGGTGGATGAACCTTGGTGTGTGGATTCTTTCTGTGGTGTATTGGTGATGGATGCAGGAAGCAAAGAGCAGAATATACATGGTTGACCGAAAGGGATTGATCACAGCGGATAGACCGGGCGGGATGGAGGAGCACAAGAAGGTGTTTGCCCGGCACGACATGCCAGCAATGCCAGAGGGGTAAGCTATGTCTTTCCTTGGGCGTGCTGTTCTTGAAATCCTGTTAATCTCCTGGGCGGAGAACGAAGGTTTCCCTGTTCTCCGCGAATTTCTTGGCATTTATTCAATCATTTTGCTGTTTTTTTCCCCCCCGGCTACAACCAACACGTTATGACTCAAGGAGCCTGTAGTCAGTAGTGACCACTCCATTGCAGGAGCATGGACTGACAGATGGCCGTATTTCCTTTCTTATTTTGTCTCTCCGGGCTAGTGTGTGCTGCCAGATTGGTGTAAGAATACTAAGAAACTACAAAGTCCATCAAGACCCCAACTGCATTCTTCATATCCTTTGTCCGCGTGATGTTCCACCTTCTGGTCATGAATGGGCCTGTTTGTGGATGGGGGGCACAATATGTCCATTCTAGCTTGGCATTCTTTCTACAATGATTGATTCACCCCTCAACACCTGAAGTATTTCTCAGTGGCCGGTAGTGTACAAGTAGCGTGAGGGAAAGGGGAAAATCACCCTGAAACTGGATGCAAGCAATCGGCGGAAGGCTGAAAGATGCATCATCAATCAATGGATGATGGATCTCTTTTTAAAGGGCGTTTTCGGACCTCAACACCCAGCTCATGGACCAGCTCGTCTGAACCAACCGGATCGGAATTGAAAATCCACCCTCAGCTCCTGGACCATAAAATCACCATTGAGATTTGATATAGTTTCCTGGGATGGGAAAGGAACGACAGATTATTGGCTGCTGCGTACTGTTATGGGCTGGTGTCATCTGAATGTTCAACGTAAAAGATTACGCGTCGTAAAAAGTGTATAGGGCCAATGGTACTAGAGGATGGATCGAAAAGCTTAATGTTTTTAACATTGAACCAACAGGCTTAGAAGAAAGAGAAAATAGAATATGTGCAGCTCCCCACCAATAGAATGGAGCTAAATTCTTCCAAAGAAAAAAAAAGAAAAAAAAAAAGAAAAAAAAAAGGGATGGGCTAAAATTCAAATAACAGAAAGGTGGAACCAAATAAAGAATAAATGGGCTATCCTGGATTTGAACCAGAGTCCTCGCCTTAAAGATTATTGATTGTTGAGTGGGAAGTCCAAAGATCCAATATTAAATTCCCCCTAGGTGGGAGTTGGCTCTATTGTCGTAGAATAAAATCTGCATTGTGCAGATGCATAGACCCCTTCCCGATTACTGATCAGATTGTCAGTGAGGCAATTTCGTTGCACTTAGGATCACCTGTCTTAAGGGTCTTAGGTTTAAGCATGCTGATGGTGGACATGTGTGCTTTGTTGCTCCCTGCTTCAGGACAACTCTCGTGGACATCATTGCAAAAGTTAAGCCGACAGCACTTCTTGGACTGAGTGGTAATCCGGGTGTGTTCACAAAGGAGGTAAGCATTCCTGACCAAGTAACACAAAAGCGCTTCCACGTGCTCCATGTCGGCCAGTGCTTGTCACTAGAATGAGGAACTGATGGACCGTGTGAAAGTCCAGCTTTCTGGGTTAATGGTCTTGCTGTATGCATCTGGCCGATAGTAAGAATTTATCTAAAGCTGGAAAACCAATGGGTGGGTGGTACATTCACAGAGAGATTAGAGATGTACGAATGGAGTCACATGGACAGTGATTGGTGGAGAAGAATTGTTCAGAGGGCGGCAGCTGTGTTCAAGTGCACCTGTTGCTGTTGGGCGGCAGTTGGCGGGAAATGAAATTCTCTGCTGCTTCCTATAGAGCACATTCTACCGTCTTCACCCCCGGTCAATATCGCTGCATGTGGACTGTGGATATGAGTGCCTTGAGGACCGGGCAGTTTGTCGTTGTGATGTTTTTGGCAGCACTCGGTGGGGGGGTTCACATCCCTGGGTCTGGTGTTGATGAGGCGACACTACTATTTCTGTATCATGCTGAGACAATGCCCCAAATAAATAACAGCTGTAACGACTGGGCGTCAGTGGGTGAAAGGCGGTAGTATTCTACACATCTGTTGCTTGCTGTTGTTCCGTCTTTTTTTTTTTGGTAGAACTTGTAAAAGCCTAAAAGGCTAGAAGCCTGGAAGGCCATTTTGTAATAATATTACTATATTAGATGTTTTTAATTCACATTGACTGCTGTGTGTGATGTTAACCTGTTGCATGCTGCGCCTGCGACAGGCTGCACGGGCCATTTTCAGGCCTTCTAGGAACAGTCACTGCGGTGCCTTTGCTAGGAACAGGCACTGCAGTGCCAAATGATGCCAGTTTCTCCTTTGGCTATCATGTAAGAGTGGGGCTGACGGACATCAATTGGGGTCCTTGTTGCCTGTTTCAGGTGGTGGAGGAGATGTGCAAGTGTCATCCACGGCCAGCAATTTTCCCGCTGTCGAATCCAACGAGCAAGGCCGAGGTATGTCTTCGAGGGCTCTTTCATTTGTCTCCTGTTGTGGAAGTTAAGTGGGTGAAGTCATGTGGAAGCGTTACATGCGTAGGAAGTGGGGGAGAACGGGTAGAGTGAGGTAGGGTGCCGGTAGAGTTCCGCTCTACCCTTCCCTACCCCCGCTCTAACCGCGTTCTACCTCTTTCTACCTCTTTTTCTCCCCGTCTAACCCACTTTGGAAAAATTTGAGTGATGGGCGGCTGCGGATGATGAGGACGAAGCCCCCCCTCACCTCAGAGAACGACAAAAAACACGAAAAACACCCATTATAATGTACATTTCTTATAGCGGTAGATTCATTCGATTTTGCTCATCCTATCGATGGAAGTACCATGAGGCCAGCCGCAAGGTTGAAGACATACATGCTCTCTCTCTCTCTCTCTCTCTCTCTCTCTCTCTCTCTCTCTCTGTGTGTGTGGGGTGCACCCTCCTGTGGGCAGGTTCCCTCTAGCCGTCGGCCCCATGAAAGGGTCTGATGGCCAGAATCACAATTTTCCAACCCCCACATTTTTTTTTTTTCCCGAAAAAAAAATTGGCAGTGTGGGCGGGGGGGGGGGGGGGTCCCGACTGCCAGGGGCACCCCCCATGCCACCGAAATGGGGTTGCCCCCCCTCCTGCTTGGCACAGCTCCTTTGGGTGGGGTCTGTTTTACCCCCGTCGAACTGGGGTAGGATAGGGGTAGGGCGGAGGTAGGACGCCACTCTTAAGGTTAGACCAGGGACCCCCCGTTCTACCTTCTGCCAGACAATCAGGTTACAGGCATTTGATTGAATTTTTTTGTTTTTTTTATTTTGTTAAGCCACCCAGTGCTGTGGGTCCTAAATTGCCAAACTTTTTTTTTTGTTGTTGGTTGGGGGGGGGGGGGTGGAAGTTCGTGGATGGAAACGTAGATGCAGAAAACAGGAAGTTGCATTCACCGAGTGCCACAGCTTACTTAGTGTGAGACGACGTGTGCACTCAACCGGAGCAACATTGTAAATGGCAGTCCAGAAACCTCGTATTCTTCTTCTGCCCAAGTAGCCCCTATCATTGACATAGTGGACCGCTGAGTTCCTCTTTAGTTAACCGGAACAGTGCGGAACTGACTTTTTTTTTTTTTTTTTTGGAAACAGGTCCTAGTGGCTCTTACATTGCAAAACGTAATTTCTCTGTGCTCGAACAAATTGAACCAGTCCTCTGCAGGCCGGTATGTTGAAAGTGTGGTCTTTTTTTACTATCAGTGGAAGTTTTGGTAGAGGGCGAACTTCAGTCCAGTATATCGGAAGTGTGGCCTTGTCTGCTAGTAGTTTTAAGGGGAAAGGTAGTCTGCGAAGGAATCCTGTGTAGTAAGAGGGGTCTCTTACTTATCGGTTGAGCTGTCAAAGCATCCATACTGGGGGCAAGGTACTCGAACGCTTGTACATTTTGTTGGAAGTACTTTGGGGCTGGTACTTTGGGGCTGGTGCTACTTGGTGCTTTATTGTTTATGTCTGATCAACTGGCTCTTCATTGTTTGATATTTGAATTTCTTTTGCAGCTTACCGCAACCAACGCTATAGAGTGGTCGAAGGGACAGGCTATTTTTGCAGCAGGGTCACCTTTCGGCCCAGTTCAGGTAGAGATTTCTTCTGTCTATGCTGCTTGGTGGTTTCCGCATCTTTATGACCCTTGGTGGTGTCCAACTTTCCGTGTATTGACGACCTCCAGGGCATTGTTCCCTGCATAGGGGAAGGGCCAGACCGTTTGCAAGCTGCTGCTCATAGAAAGCATCTCTCTATGAGTGTTTCCTATTAACCTGTGGCCAACCTGCGGCTCCCCTTTTCAAGGTCTTTTCACTTGCAGAGAAGACAATTGGGCATCGAAGAAGAGTGAATTGTAGATACAGAATGTATCACATTGCGGAAAGAAGACTGCAAGATTCCTTGTCATTAACGGCTATATGGAGAAGTGAGCACTGGTGGGTGGTGGTGTAGAAATGCTTGGAGGTTGTGAACTGGATGGTTCTACTTGTGTCAAGGAAATCTATTGCTAATAATTTGTTATCCTTTGTCTTCTTCCCATATGAGCCTTCATGTAGGGCTTGCGATGGTATGAAATGTTGGCGTTTTGGGTCTATTGTAACATTTCCGCTTTTCATGACATTTTTTCCTCCCCCAAATATAACGTATGGGCATCATACTATGATTATAGCTGTATTTAGACTGAAAGATACCCCAAAATTGCCAAAGACATTGATGACGACCTTATGTTGTATAACTGTAGAAATGCTCAGGGGTTGTGAACTGGATGGTTGTACTTGTGTGAAGTAAATCCATTGCTATTCCATTGCTATTCATTGTCTTCTCGCCATATGATCCTTCGTGCAGGGCTGAGATGGAATGAAATGTTGGCGCTCCTGGTCTATTGCTTTTCATGACATTTTTGGTTCGTCGCTGGCCCATTGTGTTGAGCCTATTTCTGCCCCATTGCTTCCACCGCACTTGTATCTGGAGCCCATGTTGCCTTATGCTTTAACCGACTCCTGGGAGATGTCGTCTCCATGATGTGGTTGATTAAGTGTGAGCATGTGTGTGTGTGTGTGTGTGCGTGTATGTGTGTGTGTGTGTGTGTGTGTGTGTGTGTGTGTGTGTGTGTGTGTGTGTGTGTGTGTGTGTGTGTGCTCTTCGGAATTTTACAGTATAATGGGAAGACATACGTACCTGGACAAGGAAACAATATGTTCATTTTCCCCGGAGTTGGGCTTGGTGCTGTGCTTGCTCAAGTGGAGATGGTGACGGATGGCATGTTCATTGCGGCGTCACGGTCTTTGGCTGATTCTGTTTCTGATGAGGATATAAGCAGTGGGAAGGTGTTCCCATCAGTATCCCGTGTTCGCGAAATCAGGTACGTTTTGATTCGGCGCTCAACTATTTCTCGTCTTTGGAACAGGATGTCAATTCCTGGTTGCATTTGACAACGATTCCAGTGTTGTTCATGCCAGCAATTCATTGAGAGGAGGAGGATGGCAGTAGGAGAGGGAAAGATGGCTTGAGTAGTATACAGGCCTCCATGTGTTGCATGGCAGTAGGAGAGGGAAGACGGCTTGAGCAAGATACAGGCCTTTGAGAATTGGGGTATAAGGCTGAACGAGCCAGTTCCTTACAAAATCCTGTTTGCATTGGTCCATGCACAGATTTACGTGAAATAATTCCCGGACCTTTGACTTATGCACGTCTTCACTCTACAGTGCCTAAACACGTTTTCCATCAGTAGGTACTAGCCTGTGTTAGATAGAATGGAGTTCCCAATGGAGCCGGTAGGAGTGTATGCACTTGTTAGGAGTGTATGCACTTGTCATCACTCCTATTGGTGGCCATGAGGTGACGTTTAAAAAAACAAAGAAAAAAAAAAAAGAAAAAAAAAAAAGAAAAGTCCGTGTGTTAGATTTACTCATGAAGCCTTAATACAGACTGTGGACTCGATTAAGGGAGATTAAAGAACAGAGCGGAGACTGGATTTTCCATCAACTGGCACCTGGCGCAGGTGCAGGGCAGATCGTAGAACAGAAACTGAGGAGTCTCCGGAAGAGATTTTGAGATTCCTTGCCCTTGCCCTTGTCCGTCTCACGAGATCACGTCCACAAAGAGGGCAGAGAGATAACCTGAAAAATCTCCAGGAGAGACTTCTTGACCTTCCGCCCCTCACGCTCCACTCACGAGAACACAGTCTCAACGACCGACCACACACGCCTCCCACCGGCTTCTACATCTTGTGCAGGTGTTCTGAAGCCTGAGAGTTCGGCACACAGTGACGGCAATTTTATTTTTGGGCCGAGTCGGACGATACCCCGAAAAGTCTGACATTCCTCTTGGGTGCCTGGCTGTGGCTTCAGTGCACCCTTGTGCTGGCTGGCGCCTGGCCCCGGCTTCAACAAACTCAGATGCTAGCGATGCCTATATGAAGATCATAGTCGTCACTGCAAGCGTGCTGAAGACATTTTTGTCCTCGGGTATTGATGCAACTCCAAGGGGAGGTCATTATGGCTATTCTCCTTTTCCACTTTTTGCTGTAAGTGTGTTAGGTGTTGCCTATATTGTGTTTTTGTCCTCTTGAGATGTTTTTGCACTAATCAGGCTACTGCTTTTCTCACTAGGGGGACGCAAGTGTTTGAGGTCTTCTTATTAAGTTATTACTGTGTTTTTGTCTGCTTTTTTTTCCTTCTTTAAGCCGCCCCTACCTTTCACGTACATTGGCCGTGGGAGTACCGCAATGAGTTTTGGAGGGGCCTTAAAAGGACAAGAAGGCTGCTGATGAAATTTATCAACAACGGCGTGCTTGTGGGACCTGTCCCCAAGAATGCGGTATAGTTTATATTTCCACCTTTCCCAACACTTTGAAAGGTAGTGGTGGTTCTTCGGAAAAAAAAAGAAAACAGAATCCTTCTCCATTCTGGGGAGAATCAGTCCAGTTCCTATTCCACCGGCAAGTCAGATAGATACAAGGAAAACACACTCTGACGTGTATCCCCATTGTGGTTGGGAGATCCGAGTGGGCGGGTTACTTGAAATAAGTCGTGTCCGTCTCGTTGCGGAACTTACTTCGTGCCGGACGGATGTACATTATGGATGTACACCCCCCCCCCCCCCCTTCCCTGCCTAGGTTATCCTTTCCACTCTCTGGAGTCTCCTTTTTTTTTTTTTTTTTTTTTTTGAAATCTTTATGCTGTGTCCAGAGGAGATGATGAGCCTTCCCCCTCCCCAATCACACATCGATGGAATTAAAGCTGGTACGGTAGGGAGTAGGGAATAGAGATGGCCCGCTCAACCTGGACAGGAGAGGAGTTTGATAGCTGGGCAGCGGGAATGGCGGATGGGGCCCCTTCATCTGCTCGCCCCGTGGAGGAAGGAGCCCCATCTTCATCATCCCAACTGCCACCTATCAACCCACCTTCTGTGCCTACTTGAACAGGACCCGGAATGGTGTAGGCAAAAGTCGAAAAGTCACAGTGCATCCTATAACCTGTGCAGTCAATCCCCTTGACTCCAGGGCAATCAATGCTGATCCGTTTGCCTCCAACAAATTCTGGTTATCTGATGTTAAAGGGACGATGGACCCGGTTTCCAGCAGGTGAAGCTCCCCACCAATAGATGGTGCCTGCTCCTATCAGCATCACTATCACCCGTCCGGGATGTTAAATAATAATAATAATAATAGTAAAAAAATGATGAGCCTGACAGCAATAATCTTGTGACCAAATTCACCCAGGGGTGAATCAGGCACAAAAGTTGGGGAAAAGGGGGGTTCACATGTTATGAACCCAAAACTAAAGCTCCTAGAAGCTGCCAGCTCAGAAACTGACAAAAACGGACACCTAGGCGGAAAGAAAAGACGTGTTCTATATACATTGCCTATTGGGTCTACTGTCTGTTATTTCCATATTCTCTTTGCTATCCCTTTTTTGAAGTTTTTTCAACCTTTTTTTTTTTCCCCTTGTCCTATTAGTGTATTCTCTTGTTCGAGTTTTTGCCCCCTCTTGAGGTGTTTGTGGAAACTTTGTGCACTAATTGTGTACTGCTTTGGTCGCTTCCGGGGTTGCGGGGGTTTGTTTTGGGGATTTGTTTGTTTCAGTGCTGATGTAGCATCTGCTATTATGAAGAAGGCGTTTGATGACAATCTTGCTGGCATTGACAGACCGGCTGACATAAAGGAGTTTGTGAAGCGGAGTATGTACCAGCCTCAATATGTCTCCAATTTCTGCAGACCGAGGTCGATTTCAAGCGTTTAGGATTATGTTGACGCCAGCGAAGTACATTGGAGCACCGAAGGTTTAGTAATGGGTAGACGGAGAGGCGGACCTTGTGATGGTGATGCGTGCTCTCTGTCTATGATTCATGATGGGAATCCCAAAGGGTCTGGCTAGCCCTGTGTGAAGAGGGAGAAGGCCCATATGCTGTGCTGCTCTTCGTGGCCGCGCCACGTGGGTCTTACAGCTTTTTTTGCTGATGCCAACCTTTCCTGTTTTTTGTCTTGAGGTAGCATTTACCTGCGGTTCCGGGGTGGCAAGAGCACCACTGGGATCGAGGCGCTCTAGCAGCCAGCTCTGATGCTGCGAGTTTTTTTACTTTTTGCTTATTCATTCTTTCCTTTTTTTGGTGTACTAGGTTCTAGACTCGAGTTATTCTGTTTTCGGTTCACCGATATTTTTTTGACAGACGAAAGCCTGATAATGTAGTGTGTTGTCGTAGGATTCTGTTTTGTCCTTCTTCCCTTCTTCCCTTCTTCCCCCTTCTTCCCCCCCCCAAACACACACACACACACACACACAAGTCCCTATTGAATTCTTTGTTTCTTAGCTTCCACTCGCATTATTCCCTATTGAATGCAGAATTCTTTGCATCTGCCCATAGCCTCATACTATTTCCTATTGAAGGCATGTGTCTTTGCTTCCACTCACACTATTTCCATATTATTAGCATTCTGATTCCCTATTCAACAAACACAATTTTTTGCATCTGCCAATACTATTTCCTATTGAAGGCATGTGTCTTTGCTTCCACTCTACTATTTCCATATTATTAGCATTCTGATTCCCTATTGAACGAACACACAATTACTTGCTTCTACTCGTACTATTTCCTATTGGACGCATGTTTGTTTGCTTCCACTCACATGCACTATTTCCCTGTTGAATGCGTCAACAACCTAACCAGCTACCAGTTGATGTGTTCGGAATCTCGGATCCAATTTTATTTTCCACTTACACCACTGAACACCCCTGAAACCCACAAGGCTTCCTGCTCCCATCCTTCAATAACCCGAGATGCGCGTTTCCAAGAAGAAAGCGACCTTTATCTGCATGTCTGCGCCTGTGTTTGGTATGGGCTCTTCCCCCCCTGAATTTCTATTTATCAGCTTGGTCGCGCTGACCGCTGATCTCTAGTATCAGTGACATCCACAGCATTTGCAAACCCTTCCTCCTTCCTTTTCCCCTTCTATCCCCCTTCCCCCTTAACCCATCTTAACCACACCAGCAGGAGGCAGAAGGGGTGTGTCATCTACAACCACGTCTAAGCTTTGTGCTGCTATGTTTTTGGCGCAAGAGAGCATGAGATGCGTGTGCTGCATCGGAATGAAGCCTTGCGTTTTTGGAGTGTGGCGTTTCTGGTCGCGGCAAGTCGTAAAACGTTTTTAAGGACTATGTCAGTAGTTTAGCACCCTTGGCTTTCCTTGTTTGCAGGATTCCTTGTGGCACTTTTCTCGATGATCCAGCATAAGTCGTGCTGGTCATGTCACTCGTGTTATGGCACTTCTCTCGATGATCCAGCATAAGTGGTGCTGGTCATATCACTCGTGTTACATCCCTCCCGAGTCCCTACCTGTTTACGCGTTGGAAGCGGCCCCCTTCTCACTGGGGTGAGGCCCGGCGAGTGTTTACGATGATGCTGTATGGATGAGTTGCAAGAGTGTCGTTTCGGACATCCCAAGGTGTGTAGTTCTGTCCTGAGAATGAGGAAACGTAGGTGTTTTTTGTTCTTCTCCCTGTGGAAGTCTCCTGGGAACAAGGAAATGTAGGCGTTTTTCTCTCCCCGGAAGGCTTGTTGAGAATTTGTGTTTGTGCTGCGCTTTGTGTTAGCCCGATCGTGTGTTGGACTGGGGTTGCGGCAGTCCTTGGTTTTGGCTCCACTCGTCTGTTCGTCGGCGATTGGCACTACGGAAATGTCTGGACGTATCGCCAAAGATGAGCAGGAGTGACGCTCACGGCAGGACAGGTTGTCTTCAATGCATGTGAGAGCAGAGAACGTCTGCAGCCGCCATCCCTAAGCGGGTGTGCACAAGGTTAGGTAATGTCTGCGCAACGACCCAACGATGTAGGTGGTATGTTTTGGTTTGCCAGTTTGAATTGGTTGAAGAGGATGACTAGCGAACCATACGAAACCGACTCTATGTGCTGCATTACCCTTTCGCGAAAGAACTGACAAGAGTGCTGGTCAGTTCTGCTGATGGTGAAGGAGGTTTGACAGTGTCACAGTGTGGGCTAGACGCTGGAGTTTGTGGTTGGCTATAAGAATGGTGGCAGGTAATCGTGGTCATTGGCATGGCCGCGTGGGTAACCGTGGCCCTGACCAAATGTATTGTGGTCATTGGCATGGCCGCATGGGTGACTGTAGCCCTGACCAAATGTATATCTCCAGAGTTTGACCTAAGGATTGATACAAGGATGAAGTCCGATGAACTCGTTCTATGGTATGAGAGGGTTGATGAGACTCCTTGGTTTGCTGAAGAAATTACAGGGATGTCAAGGCATCTCTCTCTCTCTCTCTCTCTCTCTCTCTCTCTCTCTCTCTCT